AAATGCAAGGTCTTGAGTTTGATTCCCAGTACCAAAAAAAAAAAAAAAAAATAGCTTGCACAGCTAAACTGGTGCACACTAGCATTAGGCCGTGATGGGAGGCACAGACACATGATAGAATCCACCATCACCCTTTTCTGTTTTAGGTTTTATTGAGCTCAGGGCCTTATGCGTGTTAGGCAAGGGCTGTACTACTGAGCTATACCTCTAGTCCTTCATGTCTCTCCTCTGGTTCCTTCACGTCTGGGATAACCTTTTCCTTTCTTCCCTTTGCTTCGGACTCCAGTCCTAAGTGTCTCCTTTTCAGCGGGGACTGAGAGCTTCCTGCCTCAGCCTACCATGTGAAGCTCCGCTCTGAGGAAGGCCATAGGAAGGAGAACTTCTCCTTAAAGTGATCTTTCCAGGCTAACGTGCCTGAAAAACTCTGCACAGTAATTTCGCCCGCCAGGTCTCCACTTACCCAGTGCTTAAGAGGCAAAAATCACTCCAGAGGCTGGGATAGGAGGCGTGCTGGGAATTTGGGGGTTTCCTTTTGCAATACTGAATAGAATGTGGCATTTTTAGAGAGGAAAAACTCCCAGTCTTAGCTATTTTTCTATTAAGATATAATCCCTTCTTTTGTAAATATACGGTTTACCTGAAAGAAAGATTTCCATTCTTGGGGGTGGATCTGGGCAGAGACCAAGTTCCTGAGGTTTACAACCGAAGGTTGATCACAGAACACTGGAGATGCTCACACTGGCCGTTCCCGGGGAACCCCAGGGCCAACCGCCGTCGCTCCGCGATGGGCTTCTGGTATAACTTGAAACACAAGTGAAAGTGAAGCCCTGCCCGTGGGCCGTTTTCTGCCTGGAATGTCACGGGCGCCGTCGTCCTGATCTGAAAGGGGCCCTTCCTGAGCAGAAATTCCTAATAAACTTTGTCCTGACCCGGAAGTGCCTCACTGCAGAACTTCTTTCCTTCTCTGCTCCCGAGGGTTAAAGTCCTTAAGGACATCGGCGTGGAGGGACGAGCCAGCGAACCGTGCCCCTCGTCCGCTCACCCCGGGTGCTGCTGCTGTGGTGTTTCCTCTTCCCCTCTGCGTGGAGCCCTTCCTGCCCCTCAGACTCTGTAGGGAGAGTGAGTGGTCGTACATCACTGTCCTGCTGTCACCCAAGTGGCTGGTGGCTGGTGGCAGTGCCGTGACATACCCAGTCATGTTTTTTTGATGCTGGGACTATGGAGAAAAGCCAAGGAAATAAGCACTAGCCCCTTTCCTCCGTTTTTTTTCAAGAACTCTTTTTTTTTTTGTGAGACAGTCTTGTGTAGTTCGCGCTGGCTTCACATGTACACTGACCCTCCTGCCTCAGCCTTCCAGTGCTGGGATCATATTTATGTGCTGCCACGCCAGCTTCCCAACTCCCTTTTAAAGGGCCTGCAGGTATCTTTTTCGTTGTTGTTTTGTTTTTCCAGTACCAGGAATCGAACTCACAACCTTGCACTTGCCAGGCAGGCGCTGTGCCGCTGAGCTAAATCCCCAGCCCACCTACAGGTATCTTCTAAGGGGGAACCCCAGTGGTTTAGGGGATTTGTCTTCATCTTCCTGGAATGCCCTTCCTGCTTAAAACTCAACTCTGACTTTGATCCTGCACTGATCAGGGCCCTGTCTCTGGCTATAGTCTTGGGCAAGAAAGCAAGGAAGGAGGCAATGGGTGAGGGAGCAGGTGGCCCCAAGGTGTGCCCCCACTTCTAATCACAACTCCTTGTAATCCTGCTCTGCTTGCTCACCATCCACACACTGATACTGTAAAAAGACCCAGTGCCAGGTGTGGTGGCGCGTGCCTGTAATCCCAGTACTCGGGAGGCTGAGGCAGGAGGGTCGCTGTGAGTTCGAGACCAGCCTGGGCTACAAAGTGAGTTCAGGGGCAGCCTGAACTGCATAGCGAAACCCTGTCTCAAAAAGACAAAAAAAAGAAAAAAAAAAATCAGTATTTTTTTTCTGATTTTTTGAGATAAAGTCTCTCTACATAGTTCAGGCTGATCTTGAACTCACTACGTAGCCCAGGCTGGACTCAAACTCATGGCACTCCTCCTGCCTCAGCCTCCCGAGTGCTGGGATTGCAGGCATGAACCCCCACACCCAACTCTAAATACCCTTTATACCAAGGAGTCATGAAAGAATATTACTTTCCACCAGAGCCCTTCAGAACAGGAGAACCAGTGTGTTTTGTAATCCCTTGGCCCTGCTTTTCTTTCTACTTTTTTCCAACTGAGCCTAGAAATTAGATTCAGAGAGCCTGTATCAGTCAGGGTTTTACTAGAGAAACAGATACGACGAAGATACACAAATGTATAAGAAATGACAAGGTTGGCTTACGACCGTCAGCAGAGCTGGATGAGGAAGCGTGCAGAGGGCATGTGCGCACTGGAGACCCACGCATGCGGTCCAAGGTCTGGAGCTCCCTGCAGCGTCCCACCCAAGTCTGTACCAGGAGGCCGATGGGTCTGCTGCAGAAGGTGGACGGATCCAAGCTGGAGTCCACACTGGAAGCCGGGAGATGACATCCAAGCTGAAGGTGAAGACCAGTGCTCCTCCGAAGAATGGAAGCCCGCCCGTCCTGCCTCATTCCCTTTTATACCCTCCAGATGATGAGCCACCCTAGCAGAGCAGCAGCCCTGCTCAGCCGATTTAGTTAAGCTTCTTTTATTTATTTATTTATTTATTTTATTTTATTTTATTTTTGGTCTTTTTTGAGACACGGTCTC